GAAGTGTTAGAATTTTTTTGAGTCTACAGCGTTATAGCCCATTAAATTTTAGTGCCATATTGTGCAAGTTTCAAGTAGCAAAAAATTACCGTTGATTTATTTTTTATTTTTTTGTTAATGGTGTTTCTTCCATATAACGAATAAACACAATCTATTTTTTGGCCCCAATGTTTATGTGAAAACTTTAATAATTTTGGTATCTCTTGAACAATTTTTATTTCCGCGATATCATTGAACATAAGCTTTATACCATTTATCGTGAATTTTTCTATATTTTTAAACCGATTTGTGGAAAAAAAGTTTCCTAGTACAAAACATTTATGTTTGAGTCGTAAAATATACCAACAATTTTGATTGAGCGGGGGATGGAGAACCAATTTTCTTTTATTTTTTATCTAAGTATGAAGCATGAGTCAGTTGTCTATTTATTCGACTTGGCAATATTTCAAATCTTTCCACGCAATTCGCTGTCAAATTGAGAAGAGAAATTTTATTTCCACGTGTGAACAGCTAGAAAGAGATTTCTGTCACTTTTCGGATATCAGTTTCAGAAATTTAAGTTGCAAAGTGTGACTGCAACTGAAAGCGCGCAAATCGATTTCGGAAATATATTTCAATTTGCTCGTGCTGCACTACAGTTTAGAGGCAAGCTGTGACTGCTCACGCAACTGCTCTCAGAAATTTCTCAATTTGACAGCCTTTTCGAAATATACTCCATTGCCACGTCTGACACGCAGTTAAGAAAATGAGCTGATCGCAAACATATGTTCGTAAATAAAAAAGAAAATATGGGTTTTTTGAATTATTTATTTTGTTATTTTTGTATACCATATACGATTTTTCGTTTGTACCATATATTTTCCTTAAATACACCAAAACAGAAAAAAATGCAGCAAACTTAAATGTTTTTGGTTGAATTTGTCAGTTTTGAGTAGGTTGAAAATATCAAAATCAATCGGTTTCTCCGTGGCACGCCAATTTTTTTTATTTATAAGATAATTAATTTGAGATCAAGAATTTTTAAAGCGTTATCTCAAGACCTAATGCTCTGCCAGGCTGGCAACACTTGCACTTAGATATGTTTTACGGAATTTAGATCATGCGGAAGTGAGCATGCAGCGTTTGGAGGAGGGGACGGAAGAGAAAAGGTGCTAGTAATTTTATAAGGCGTTTGCCTGCTTGTTCTTGTTAACTGTCTGCGACATCTTGCTTGATGCTACAAGTTTTTTGACAATGGCATTGAGTTTGAATTGATGTTGATGAACTATTTATTTCATCGCATGCGGCGGCATTTATCAACTTGTTAGTTTTCGTATACATATGTGCTTAGTATTTTTATTTTTGTTGATATGCCGCATTCAATCATTTAGTTCATTGACTGTGACAATGATTGCCAAACATTTTTTTTTTTTGTTTTCAAAATAATGTTTTCAGTTGGCAATTACATGTTTTTCTACTTTATGGCAATACATAAATATTACTGTTGTACATTTGCGGCTGTCTGTTACTGAATTATGTAGTATGTACTACAATTCATAAACTATGCCTGTGTATCACATATGTATGTATGTTTGTATGTAGTACGCTATTTAATTGTTAAACACATTCATATGTATGTTTAATCGGAGCGTGTCAAAAAAGTCAGCGCCTGACAGGCACTAGGCTGACTTTCTACGCAGGAATTTAGTTAATGTGTTGATTAGTGTTTTACAAATACTATACCCTGTTTATTTGTAGATGATATTTATGTGAAATGTAAATATAAATAAAAATAAATGCTTCTGAGAATGAATATATGCATGCACATATATTCAATAAAAACTTCTTACCCCTGTAACACTTTTAAAGTTTTTTTTTTTGCCTGTGTACATTTTGAACCCATGTTCTTCATACTCCTTACGTACATACAAATATAACATTTACAAATACGGTCGTCATACCGTACGCATAAACGTATGCGCTTAAATGGGCACATCGTGACATAATTGTACATTAGGATGCATACAAAAAAAATTCGATACAGTCTTTCTATAGAAATTATAAAATTTATTACATTTTAAGATTTTCGCCATAATATTTCGGAAAGAAATTAAGATTTACGTGAGCTGGATCCATTTGAAAAGAACTGAAAAAATCGCATTATTTTGATTCCGTTGATAAAATGTTATCCATTTTTATGTACACCTTTTAGACTTAAACTCTTCCATCATTTGAGATTATAAAAAAAAAAAATAAAAATTTTAAAAACTAATTTTATTTATATATATGTATATATATATTTATATACTAGATTTTCAAGTCTTTTCAAGTCCGTCCAGCTCTCGTAAATCTTAATATTTTTTCTGGTGGAAAACTGCGACTTTTTTGGTGACCCATCCTATTGTACATATGTACATATATATGTATGCAGTTAAATGAATACTTGTGTTCGCAAGTTTAATTAAGTGGTATTGAAACCACAAAAACGTGGTTGCTGTAAGCAACATGCCTATTGTAGGCGACGATATGGAGGTTACTGCTCCTCTAAGCAATTTGGAGCTAAGACTAATTTATTCAAAGCGCCAAATGCAGCGCCATGGAATATGCACAGTATACATATTTGTACATATGTATATTTATGTCTGAATTTAGCGTGTTACCCTACTATGCACTCGCTCTTTGACACTTTGGTATTCATTTGGCACTCCAATTCCCATTAGAATTGTTTCAATTAAACGCACTTGTACATTCGTAAAACATACATACCTATTTTTTGATAATTGACTAGCGCTGAACATGTATGTATGTACTACACATATACATTAGACTTGGTCGGTTCTCGTATGAAAAAAAAAAAAAAACATTTTTGTATTTTAGGATAACATGTGATATAAAGCATGATAAAAACATAGCAAGGTATAACCGTTCTCTCAATTTGTCGGCCATGATTTTTTTTTGAAGTTTGCCAACATTTTAAAATCATATAAAAGTGAAAATAAAAAATTGAAATTGTTCGAAATTGTTGTTGCTTGAGATTGAGAATGAAAATGTGTGTGTGAGTTTGTGAGTAAATTTAAAAATTAAATTGTTTGGAAACGTCAAGAATTTTAAAAGTGACTCTCAGCGGTTCTACCTTACTATATTTTTATCATGAGCACTTTTATCATATAGCACTTTTAGCTCATACACCATTGATATCTTTTGCTGTATATGAAATTGACCTGTGCTAAAAATAAAGCGACAATCTCGCCGAGCTTTCTCGCTCTTTCACTGAAAGCAGCTTACTACCCTCCCCTACGAAAAGGCACTTGCTGGAAGCAGAACCTCCAGAACGTCAGAAGGCTTTTTCCTCAACTGCAGGACGACTTCCGGAACTAACTCCCGAGTTAAAGCTTCAGCCGCCTGAAGGTCCGGTCCAAGTCGAATTCGAGGTAGAGTTAAGTAGCCGCTACGACGACAACAAAACTTTTTTTGTTGGATAGAAGAATGCAAATTTTGCAATTTGCCTAAAATATGTAAATGGTCTAATCCTGTACGCCCTGTACAAACCAATAAAACACGTGCACTGCTATCATAAGATAACCTCAAAAGTTCAGTAAAAGTCAAAGTAGTATAAAGTGCTCTTGATTTATCTATCTTGAAACTGCTTGATAAAAAAATAAGTTTATAAATGTGTTATTAAATAAACGTCACTTGTATATTTATGTATGTATGTACATTTAGTTGCCAACTAGTCAAATAAATAATTTTTCCTTTGCTGATAATAACTTAGCGACAACAACATATGTACATAAATCACTGCCAAATTGCCAGCCACTACATGTACATACATACATACCTACAGTGACTCAAACAAGTGATTACATGTTTTTTTAAATGTTCTTGTTTTTCAAGTTAAATTTGTTGGTATTTCTTTCATAAAACTATTGCTCATGCTTTAAATAGAGTCATATACATTAGACTGCATCACTCCCCATGCAAAAAAAAAACGGTACTGTTTTTCCATTGGAATTATAAAATCTATTATATTTTAAGACGCCCACCAAAATATTTATAAAAAATATTAAGTTTTACGTGACCGATTTGAAAATACCTATAAAAATGGAGTTTTTATGAATAAAAATAGTTTCTTAAAGATGTTTTTTGAAAAAATCCCCTCAAATGACAAAACGGTTTAAGCTTAAAAAATTTACATAAAAATATTTAAAAAAAATAATAAAAAAAATTTTTGGACGGAATAGTGAGATTTTTGATCCTGTTTTTTAACTTTTACAAAGATTGGTATAAGAAAAACTTGAATAACTGAACCTAAACTCTTCCGATTAAGAATTTTAAATATTTTTATGCAGATTTTGTAATCCCTGCGAAAAAACCGCAACTTTTTTTGGTGATGCAGTCTAATATACATAGAGCAAAGTTTCGAAAATTTAGAAATATTCATAAAGTTTTCATAAAAATTTTGCACTCTTTAGCCTGAATTTTCATAACATTTTTTGATATGCAGTTTTATAGCCCAAACATTTTTAGGGCATAAGGTGCAAGTTTCAACCACCTAAAAACTCGCGTTGCACTTCTCTATATATCTTTACGTGAATTTCTGATGGAATAAAATGCGCAAGATCCGTCGCAAAAGATTTTCAAAAAAATTGTTTTATATAAAACAACTCAAAAGCCGTCAGCAAAAAAAGTTAGTAAAAGTCAACGCGATCTTTAAGCCGCTTCTAAACTGCACTTTGTTATACTGAAATACCCGAAAATGTTCTAAAAATTTCGAAATTTTGTTGAATTTTTCAATACTTTATTTTAAAGTTCGACACTTTGATTTACATGCATATATAATTTGCGCTAAAACATGAGGAAGGTTAAACAAATTTTACATTGTGAATATTAAAAAAAAAAAATCAACACGTAGACACTTGTTTGAGTCACTGTATGCTATCCCATCATCATTACTAATTAAAGTAAAATAAAGTACAACATCTAGTTAGATAAGAAATGTTTTAAAGTGCCATAACAATTCAATAAATCAATCTCAATCATTTCAGCAATTCTATTAGCAAAAAAAAAACAAAAAACAATAATATATTTAATCCTTGTGTCTTTCCAATTTATTCACAGAGCACAAATTAGTTATGGTTGGCTTAGATAATGCTGGCAAAACCACAATACTCTATCAATTCCTTATGAATGAAGTCGTACACACCAGCCCAACAATTGGCTCGAACGTGGAAGAAGTGGTGTGGCGGAATATACACTTTCTGGTTTGGGATTTGGGCGGACAGCAGAGTTTACGTGCCGCCTGGAGCACCTACTACACAAATACAGAGGTACCTATATACCATCTGAACAAAGTATTCGTGACTTTAAAAATACTTCTTGTATGCTATTTCCTTATTTTGCAGTTTATCATAATGGTCATCGATTCGACAGATCGTGAGCGCTTAGCTGTGACGCGCGAGGAACTCTATCGTATGCTGCAGCATGAGGATCTGTGTAAAGCCAGTCTATTAGTTTATGCAAATAAGCAGGTTGGTCGACGCGTTGCTACCTTGCCTCTATTTCATTTATATTTAAATTATTATTGTTGTTTTCACTTTCGCCCAGGATCTCAAGGGTGCAATGTCAGCTGCGGAAATTTCACGTCAATTGGATTTAACCTCGATTAAGAAACATCAATGGCATATACAAGCGTGTTGTGCGCTCACCGGCGAGGGGTAAGCAAATATGTATTTTTATTATTGTTAAGAAAAACAAAAATGCGCAAGGAAATGATATCAATTACTTATTTGGAAGTGTTATTGTACTACGAGATGTTCCAATTTGTATGGTTATGTATATACATAGTTGTGACGCAATTGGTTTGTGTTCATTTTAATCTAAAAATATTTCTGATTGCGTGAAGTACATTTAAGTACACTTCATGGCCTGTCTCACTTGATGAGCATGGCTAAAAAGTATTATATAAATACATACTATGGGTTTTTGTGTAAAGAGAAAACGTAAACAAACATTCGTGGCTATAGAAGTATTCAAACTCAAGCAATCTAAAATGCTTAGAATAAGGCATTTTTGTAATTCGATTTTTAAGTACGGTTTTATCTCGCTAGCATTACAAAAGCAAAGCGTAAAAAATCGACATTTTCCAGAGATTAAAAAAAAATTATAGTAATGTTATTTAAAATTACCAGCATGAGAGCATTAATATTGTAAGCTGGTCGGAGCGTCTAAATTAGTTTTGCAAATTAGCCCGGCTCGTATGGCAAATGAAATTCAAAATTGTATAAGAAGTAGTTTCAATAGTAATGGAAATACATATGTTTGTAAGTACACATTTTTAAATGCCTAATCTAGACAATTCAGATTTCATATATTCTAGTCACGTAATTGTCTAAATGTGGATAGTAAGGCAGTTTGTTTTAACAGTACGAAGTTTGAACGGTTATATACATATCTCTACTGGCAAATCAATACAGCTTAAGTCGAGCTAAAAGAAAGTTGCGGTATATTTTTTAAATCGCCGAATTTCTCAAAAAGTGTATTTTTTTTCTCTCAAACTTTTTTGCCGGGAAAGAGACACTTTGCACTACAATCAACCCAAATCTGTAATAGAAAAGATTTTTTTTCTGAGTTATGATTTTTTATAGAAAATATACGTTTTTGTGGTACATACTAGAGAAAAAAAAAATACATTTAATTTGGGAAATTAAATAAAAAAAAAAAATTGCACTTTTTGTTTATTGTTAAATAAAAAAATTTAAATAATGAAAATCAGTAATTATATCATTCTATCTTGAAGTGACAAGAATTACTGACATTTGAGTAAAAGCATTGTTGGAATATATTAAATTTTGATAAAATTATGGGCATTTAAAAAAAAAAATCTCACTGTCAATCCGAATAATCGATTTTTGACTCAAAACCAAAATCGCGTTTAATTCGGCCGAAACATTTTTCCGAGCCAAAAGAAAAATACGTGTCTCATTATTTGGACCAACAAACAATTTATTTGAGTTTGGTCGAAATTAAAAATCATGATGGTACCTGACCGGTTTTCTGGAAATGGAAAGCATCAGCTATAATTCCACCATTTTTTAAAAATTATTGTTGCTTTTCCACAATAGGTTTTCATTAAAAACGTCGTCAAGCTCAATAAAAATTGTTGAATATAATTAATTAAAATGTTCATTTAGTTTAGATTTTTTCAAAATTAATTAATTAATCAATAATTTTTTTTTTTTAATAATTGATTATTAATCATTAAAAAGGTGCAAATAATCGTATTTAATCATTAAATGGTTACCAAAAAAACATGCTTTAATTAATAATCATTATGATTATTAATCATTATTTAACAGGTCTGGTCCGTTAGTATTTCATAAAGCATTTCACATGATCAGCGTATTTTTTTCTATAAAAAAATGAAGAACATATTTTTTTGTGACACATCTTCGTCGCAATCTTGTTGTTATTGTTTTAGCTGCTACTTAGTCCGGCCTAAATCAGCTAATCTTTTTCGTCCGGTTTAACTAACGGTAGGCCTAGAAAATGTGCCATTCCGGGGTCGAACTAAATGGAGAGCAGCGTTAGTTGAGTGAGATTGAGGGAGTATGTGAAATGGTTGTTAGTATAAACCTGGTAACTTTTACATCCAGAACTTACATATTCAGCCTACTACAATACACAATTCCCTAAGTGTGCCTGAGTAACGAAGGTCTCGCGTGTCAGCTGAAGCTCTTGTCTTGCAATTGGTTGGGGTTGCACTGCATTCACGGATCGAGAAATAGTAAAGGGATTGACGGTATCTATACTGTATGAATGGCGTTTAATGCTTGTGTCTGTTCAGCGGCGAGAGCAATGGCTGTTCAGTATAGTCCTGGATCTCATCATTCAGTTAGTACTTATGTCATCTGATGTGCCTACGGGGTTAGAAATCATCTGCTCAGGTACATCAGCAGCAGCCGACCAGAAACTGCTTGCTTAGCATGATATTGTGCTTCTTTACTGGGAGCCGGTTCTACTTAGCGAAATTACGGGGGGCTGCTTGTTTCGGCAATATAACCCTGCTTTGATCGTCGATATCTTTCAATAATTGCATACTTCTTGTTTGGGCCTGTAGCCGCCTAAGCGGTTTCGGCCTCGTCGAATAAAGTACTCTAGAATGTCTCCCTTCTGCGCCAATTGGAAAACCCAAATGAAGCCCATTCCTCCTCCTGGTCTTTCATCCCAGAGGAATACTTCGTCTTCTACCAGCAGGTGCTTTCAGGGCTAGAGCGGTTGTGCCAATTTCTATGAGCCAAATTGGGTTCATCTTCTAAATCTCTTCTGGTTTCAGTAGGCCTCTTTGTTGTTACGGGAATTTAACATGATGGTTTGGAAACCTTTCGTAAATTGTGAAAATTTCTGGTGTTATTTTCGGAAGTATTTCCTGTGGGCCAGCATTCCAAGTTCCTTGCACACCGAATAAACGACTCGCTTATGTCTTCAGCCCCCTACGCTACATCGATTTCACATAGATCGCGTTATCCCTGATTGCAGCATCTTTTTTTCGACACCCCCAATTACCCCTTTCTTGAAAAATCAGTTTTAATTTTCCAAAGCCTTCCAAAGCTTAAGTATTAAAGTGTGCTAAAAATTATGATAATTCCAAAAGTTTCGTTTTTCTATAAATAAATTCTTTTACTAATAATTCATGCTATCAAAAATAATCCTTTCGCACAAATATATATGTACATACATTTTCAAACGACTTACGACTTTTTATCCCGAATATGGCGCTTCATAGCTAATTAAATTCGGCCGCCCTGTTTGCTCACTTTTGCAACATTTCGTTTCCTTGCTCTGTGCTACAAACAAATAATTTACAGTTATTTTGCATTAATACATTTTCTTTCATTTACAGTCTTTATCAGGGTCTCGAATGGATCGTACAGCGCATCAAGAAGAAATGACAGACGTCAAATATGGACTGCGATAGGATATAGCTAATTACAAAATAATATTTAAACAGTTTTATATATGTATGTATTTATGTATAATATAATTACGGTAATGTCAAAATGTTACAACAAAATTAAACGTAAAAATAGTGAATGAAAGAATAGCGAAAAACAGACATACATTATATATTACATAGCATAAGAGCGCATAGATTAATTCGCGGCGCTACAAAAATGGAGCAGCAATTAATAGCAAATAAGATCATACATACGAGGAAAAAAAAAACAACATATACATATAAAAAAATAAAAATAAAAATATATAATTATTTTGTGTAAGCATAATACTTGCAAGTAAATGAAAGCTTATCATTTTTTGTACAACAAAAAAAATATTGCATAGGCGACACAACACAACTAAATTTATTATTTTAATATTAAGGAAAGGTGGCTGCAAAACGATCGCTGTTAGTGCAAATTATAATTATTATTATTTTTAATTCAAAAATATGCTTACTGCTGTTCGTTGCATATGTATGTATATGTACACGTGTATGCATGCTCAATTGTTTAGAATTAAATTTATGACACATTTGGAAATACTTATATTTGTATATATGTATATATATTTTTTTTATATAATTAACTATACATTTTCTATTATTTTATTTTAACACTTTGTTTCAAACTTTAGTTAATAAATTTTCTAAATTCTGTATTTCTAACAATTTAAATTTTCAGCTTATGCTGGATATCTGAAGGGAACCTGCGTACATATTAGAATTCTGCTGTTTTATTACAAAATAAATCTTCCATTTAATAAGTGTAATCATTGTGTTGAACGAAAAATAAAGTGTGAAGTAACGCACTAGTTAAAGCAACACAAAAACATTTAATTTCAAAAGACAAGAAAAAATATTCTTATTTGTTACAATTACTAAGTGAAAATAAATAGTATTGAGCAATAAATAGCCAACTGTACATGTTTTAAAAGCATCGAACTAGAAAACGCTCACCTGCTCCTTCGCCACTGTGAATTCACTCATGTAAGCTAAAAATTAAAATAAAGCCAGGAGATTTAGCATAGTAATGTCATTTGCCAAAAGATAACAGAAAATCAAATATAATATTTCCATTTGTAAGAAATATGTATACGTAAAATAATTTAAACCATTTTTGTAATCATAAGGCAAATTAAAAAAAAAGATCTATCTAACTCAATAAAGTTAATATTAAGTTTACAACTGTGTACAAAATGATTTCAAGGATGCTAAAAAAGTTTTGGAATTGTGATTCATACGTTGCGTTTATTAAGGCTATTAAAATTAATCCTCATATTATGTTTGCCAGAAATTTTAAAATTTTGAAAATCGTTATTTCCATACATACATAACAACTACATGTTGTTTTTGTTGTAACAACATACAAATTCATCAAAGGGTGTTTTGGTGAATGATGCTGGAGTGACAGTCCATGGCCAGATATAAATCTGGGTCGTTCCGGTTACGTAGACCCGACTGTCGTGGGAACGGATCACAAGAGAAGGGCATACCTGAATACCATGAATACCTAAAATTTTTCTGGAAATTCAAATTTTGGTTGATATTTTTTTTTCAAATTTAAATTTTTACTTTTGCATTTTTTTGGGAACTGCATAATTGCTTTAAATTAGTTTTTATTTGTTATGTAACAATTAATTACAGGAACAAGGGAATCGATTTTCTCAAATTATGCTGCTTTCTATGAACTTTGTTCTAAAAAAATTTAAACAAATAAAAATTCAAAAATCGGGCTCAACAAATCTCTTCTAGATTGGCTGAAAAATGAAGGCTGTAAACTATTTTGATCAGTAAATTCCAGTTTGGGGCATGTTCAGGTCTGCGCATCACACAAGATTGGGCGAGGAACTTCGAGGGTCCGTGTTGTTGTTGTTGTAGCGGCTACAACAACCCCGCCCAGATCGGTTG